CTTATCGAGCCCGGAATTGAAAGGACTCACTCTCTCCCGAAAGTTTGGTTGGACTGCGGTTACAAGTCCGGAATCCTCGATGGCGCAAGAAACGAAAAAGGTGGATACGCGCGGCCAATACAACGTTATCGATGACTAACTTTCCTCCTCTGTGGCCGGTGGCAACAGAAGCTTGGATCGCATGCAAAGATGGTGTTTATGCATCGCGATGATGCAACATCTCCATAAAACTTGGGGAATCTATGTCGCGGCATTGCTGCATCCTCGCCGGTATCCCGCAATTCAATTAATTCTAGCAACGACACGAGGTCGTGTTCGTACGCAATCGAACGAGAGTTCATCCCATTGCTTGGCGACTATCGTGGGGGGGGGGGGGGGGGGGGGGGGAGGGGGGGGGGGGGGGGGGGGGGGGGGGGGAGAGAGGAGAGTAGTTGTACTGTTGGAGAAAAGGTGGAAAGAAGAAGACGGGGGACACAGGTCGCGTGTATTGTCTGGTGAGGCGTGCGGCCTGATTTAATTATTCTCGAGCAGTGTCCCGGTTCCTTTTCAAGAGGGGGATCCCCGTTATCTGCATACGCATTCAGCCTGGCGTTTTTGGCACGCTTTCTTCGAAAATCGCTTGAATCGCGGCACACGGAAATCGAATAAGAGCGGATAACGGATTTTTAAAGCTAGTCGTGTGTGGTTTTTCAGGACAGGATTTCACCGGTTTTACCGTGGCATCGTTTAACTCCCCCACCCTCTCTCTCTCTCTCTCCCGACAGACAGACAGACACACGTAGGTGTCCGTGAAAATCTGGAAAGATCCAAAGTTGGCTGTTTCCACTGGAAGCAAAACGGTGGTTTTCCCTCTCGTTCGCGTACCGCGCGTGCCACACACGGTTACACGATTGCGCAACAGAAAACGGTGGCAGGAAGTTGACCAGACTATAGAGAAGTGATTAATTATTTACTATACGAGTGATCGAGCTCTCGCGGCACCGATCTACGCGAGTAGCAAAACGCTCGGTAGATAACGGTGAACGTTTCTCGATAATTAAGTTGTTCGAGGAATTATTCTCTTTCTCTCTCTCTCTCTGCTCTCTGTTTCACCCTGATCACGGGATACGCGTGCGTCTTCGATTACGTAGCGTGGAAATTTACGTAATTTTACGCGGCAAATGACCGGATTTCCGGCGAATCCTATCGACGGAGGACGAACGTTTCGATCGCGAGATAGTTGAGACGAACCGTATCGCGGCAAGACGATCGAACGCGGATCCCATCAAGACGAATTAAGGCCAGTGACGTGCCATTTTGTAAAGGAGGAACTTCCGCCGATTAACGCGGTAATTGTTACATCCGAGAATGCCCACGGTGATATCGTTCAACGAGAACCGAGTTACAATTCTCCCCGCTACCACCTAGATTCCCATCGATAACCTGTTTACGAATTTTCTCGAGAAAAGTGACGATAAGGTGCGCGCGAGCCTTGGAACGAAGGAAAAGGGGGAAAACGGATCTCGCGATACGGTTTTTCTACGTGCCTTATCGCTGGTGAACAAAACGGATGAGTCACCGGGTGCTCGCGAACGCTCACCTTCGACCAGCAAATCGCGACGTAACGCCGAAAGAGGAAAATTGCTTTTTCTAGAAAAGTCCCTGCTCCGCCGGAGACAAAGAATTATCCTCGTCGAAACGAGAATTGTTCACGATTCCGAGAAACCTTGAGAAAAAATTCCCAAGTATTTGATTTTACCTCGTGCTTACCTCGTGTCTACACCAAGCTGAGATTCTCGTCGAACGTGACACGATGGAATAAATAACGAAACGCTCGCCGATGGAGTATTCAATTTCAAGCTACCTCGCTGCTTACTGCTGTACGCGGTAAAAACTAAGGTTGGACGGGATATAACATGAAACGCGAATACACGTCGCTGATCGAATCTTTCCACGTATACCTATTACGTTGAAAAAACAGAAAATTACGAAGATAAAAGTTTTACCGTCGCGCAAATAAAACGGTCGAAATATAAATGATAAGAGGCAGACAAGAAGAATGAGCACACTCGCGGAGGCTGCGATAATCGTATCGAGTTGAACACGCGTTATCGTTCCGTGGCGTTTCACCGGAAAGAAACGTGCGATACTGTATCGTGACACGGTTCGTCTTCTTTCGCTCGTACACTGCAAAACTCGTCCAGCGTCGTCGTGAGACAACACAAAAATTGAAAAAGCACTTGCGAGCGTACGTATTTACCAAGGCAAGTGCGGTATCGCAACATCTGTTCTCGGTTCGAATAGGATCCTTGGCATCCGTAGACTTCTCACGAGTTGGACGGTTCGGTTGCTGTTCCGAGCGAGTCATCGAACAAGAACTGTCGTCGCTCGATAGACGAGAGCTTTCCCAGGATTAGCAAACATCTTTTTGCACCATCGACGTGCATACATATGTATATACGCGTCATTCAAATCACTCTCCTCGCGTTATTCGGTCAGAGTTTTTTGTCGTGGAAAAGGGTAAGAAGAATGATCGAAACTGCTCGTTTCTACTTTGTTTGATCGAACATTTGCACATGATGCGCGGCACCAGTCTTCCACGTATGGCGCGCTAATTTTTTTCCTCGACCCCCGCCTCTCCTATATAGCTAACTGGGGTAAACACAGATGTTTCGAAGCGCAGCCTGGCGAAACGCTTATGCGTATATACGTTTATCTGTAGAAATGTATAAGCACGACCGTCGTCGGATATATATATTTCTCCCTTGAAGAAACGATTCTCTTTATTCTTTACCTTGATAATAGAAATCGCAGTTACTTTACATCGCCGATTATGTACTCGTAAGGTTTAAGCCCACGTTAATTATCGAGTATTTACGCATACGTAAAGTATGCGACATTAGCAGCCGAAATAGAAATAAAATGCGGAGAAACGTGTGGAACATTATGGATTCTTGTTACGACGGAGAAAACGCGATTTATTATTCCGAGTAAATGGACGCGTTCGTCTGACTCACACCTGAAGATATTATCGAGGAGAAAACAATATGCCAGTTCTTTGCTAAATTTCTTAATTATGTACTAATAAGCGTTTGATAAAAGAGAAAAACCTTGCGTACTTTAGCATGGTTTAAGGCGTTCGAAAATTGCTCAGATCAAAAGTTTCGTTGTTACTTTTACTAGTTTGTAAGGTAATTACGGTAGAGAATGATTTCTCAAAGTGCGTCTGAAAGTGATTTGAGAGGAAAGACCGCGTAGATGAAATCACTGGACGTGCTGCTGCGTATGCATATGTACGGAAGGGGTCGCAAGCAACAGCGATTATGTAGTCGTAAACGAGTCGAACGATGTATGCGTACGTTATAAACCGAAGCAACAGGTGGATTCACGACTATTCCACTGTTATTTCTTTAAGATTTTCGTGCGTCGAGCAACAGGTAGAGACACGTTCGAAAGGGATAGTTTAATTGTAAGAAAAGGAGGAAAGAACGATACGTACCTCGTCGATGGAGGCATTGCTGCCGTTCAGCTCTTCTTGCTCGACACTGTTCGGATTCTTCTCCGGGGTCTTGTTCACCTTGACGTTAGCCATGGTGCCCTTGATAACGATGTTGTTGGCCCTGAAATATTCGTCGGCCTCCTGGTCGACCACCAGAAGCTTCGTCTCGTTGGGGAAGGCCTTTATGCGTTCAACAACCTGTTTATGCGTTTCGTTCGCGATGTTGATCTCATTAACCTCGACGATACGATCACCTTGCCGTAAACCAGCGGCCTGACTAGGAGAACCATCGTCCACCTTTCCGATAAACTGCCCGTTCTTCCCTTTTTCCGCGTGCAAGTTAAACCCGTAACCGTCGAAATCGTCCCACTTGACGATATGGCAAAGTCGTGCACACGGAGCCTTATCACCCTTCAAGGAAGACATGTTTCACCCTCGTAGCAGTGTCGCGGCGCACAGAACGAAACGGAAAGCGGCCCTGACGTATGTGTGCGTGCTCGAGCAATCGAGGAACGACTATACCACGAAAGAAAACGAAGAAAAGTAACGCGCTACACACCAATGGCTATGTGAATGTTTGCACTATGTCGCACCGCAATCGGTAACAAGATTTTCTGCGGAGAGGATCGACGATCGAGGCGCGGCCTTACGGTCCGTCCGTGCCTCATACGGTGGCTGGTTGACTAGGCGACTGGCTAGCTAGCAGGCTCGGCCTCGCCGATTTTCCTCTTCACCTGCCACGAGGCGATTATTCGAACCGACTGGCGGTACTCACCGTCCTCGTGAATCGCTCACCATCGAGCGTGGGGAACTCGAAACTTAAAGGTCGGTTCACGTGTACGCGAGGTCACGTGCACCAATGGCCGCGAACGAATTGCCAGCCAAAATCTTTCCGAATATCCTCGATCTAACGAGTATATATGGCCGATCGAACCGGCACGTTCTACAACGCGACACCGAACCAATCCATGCGAGACGCTGACGTTGACTTTGACTAGAAACTGAACGCTACACGCCGACCACGCCGACGTGGTGGGGATGAAACGCTGCTGTTGTCACTTGAGCGCCAACTAATGTAGCACCACCTGTCGGTAAATCAACGAAACCTAGCTAAATCTATGATTAAATCTATGGTTCGATAAAAAGCGTTACCAAAATTTTATATACATATATACAAATCTATACAAATACTTGGATGTACGTAGTAACGTGAAAATATCCTTTGCTATTTTAACATGTATAACTAATTCGTTATGATTGTCGTTTTACGAAAGGAGGGATTAACCACCTGTTGCAAGTGTATAGAATAAATTGGACAACGAAACAGAAATGGTTTTAACTAGTTACCAATGAAAACGTTAAAAAGGTAATTACGCATTGTGGTTTACAAAGTTCACCGATGAATTTCCTTGCGTCGTACTCCACGTGCGATCTAATTCTTCCTTGACTTTTATTACTCGTCAAACGTCCGTTCCATTACTCGAATAAGTACGCCCTGTAATTTCGTAAACTTCCATGGAACAATTGGTTACGTGAAATATTACGTTACAAAAGCGAAAAATTTTCTCAAATTTAGTGCAGAATTGTCTGAAAAACGACGTTCTAATAATACCGAAAAACTGAATGTTTGCATAGTAGTTTATGATCATATGCGTACTCATGTACATACACGCCTGATAAGTATCTATGTGTATGTAATGAAGCTTGCACGTCGATATTTTACTACACGTAAAAAATAGCTCTCCGGTAATTTTCAAGATATCTTATCGGGATAGCGATAACATTTTGCATAGTAACATTTTAATTAAGCTTCGAAAAGATTGAAAGTTGCAACGTGATGTAGCATTTGAAAAATTCCGAAAGTACCTACTATTATGCGTATAGAAAATAGAAATCTATCAAATTGAAATTGAAACCTGCACTTATGGGTGAAATCACTTGTGATCATGGGGTGAGTAAATACGATTGCAGATGCATAAGACCGCAAACTATCGGTATTTTCAAACTGAAGACTAAAATGTGACGTAACAAAAGAATTGTTGTAATCTCAAGAAAACGAACAATTATACGTATCGCGATAAAAGGAAGTAAATTATGTGATAACGTAGCGATGACGAATTGATGATTAAATAGGTGAGAAGTGATTCAATCTACGATTAAAAGAACTTAACAACATTCGGAAAGTTCGAACATTGTCGTTTCTTTCATTTTGACAGACGCAAAAGGATGATTCACTTGATTGTAGAATAATTTAGTCGGAGATCCTTTTCTATCGTTCTACCGATAATTAATGGAACAAGTACTTTAATTAAAAGGCTGAATTGTTTGCACGCTTATTGCTTACAGAATTACATATACATACATACGTACGATGTTTGCGTATTCAATCGTTTAATTTCTACTTGTGTGCCTTCGTATTTTACCGATGACGAATCGTGACGATTACATGATATATAAGCACATTTTACCACGTCTCTGTTCTCCCCAACGTACATATGTATATACCGTATATTTCTTTCAAAGTCAACTCTTATTGTTAGACGGAATAATTTTCACTTCATCGCGAACAAAACCGAGAAACGAAATGGACTTTAATATGTCGATGTAATTGCATTAGTTTCTAACAAAACGAAGCATTTCAAATTTATGTAATTTTCGAGTAACGTTACATAACGTTGTATACAAAAATTTTTTCCAACAAATCGTCTCGTAGATCGAATCTAATTTAATAAAGACATACGGCGTAGGGCGTCTGAAACGCATTATACGATCCTGAACCGTGAGCGTGGTGGATGCGCAGAATTGTATGCGCAGTAGTTACCGCAATGGTGCGCGATGCGCAAGGCGGACGTAGCGGTTGTTCGAACATTAGTCAAGTATAGTTGTCGTTGATACATTGCACCGCGAGTAGTTTGTTGTTGGCGTGGTTCGTTTCCGTGGCACGCAGAACTGTGAAAATTAAGACGCGTAATGCCATTAGCCAGCGTTACGGTAGTAATCGTTAGGTAGATCGATTGGTCGTAGGAGGAACAACAGATGAATATTTGCAACCGAACGCTGTAACTGAGAGTCGAGGAAAAATGTGGAGTCCAACGCACGTTCAAGTGACAGGTAAGCGTAAGGGAAGTTGGAAACGTAAACGCGATGAAGAGGAACGTGGTTTATGCGGCAGGTGGTTCAAGCCGAAACAGATGTACCGTAAACCAATTACAGCTTACACGTAAGCTAGGTTACGTATCCTTGGTTGAATGTAGGCGATCGAAGCCTCGCATTCTCGTTACACGCTGCCAGAAATTTATTTAGCGAGAAAACAGATCTTTTGCGATGTCTGCTGCCTGCTGGTGATACATGTGTATGTGTTGTATAGCAAACGACGCGTGTCTTACTTAAGCGACCTCGTTTGTCGCAGTATTTTTAAATGACCAATGTAGATCAACGTGCGACGCGTTAATTCGCCTTGCCATCGCGTTTATGCGACTGCAAAGGTTGGGAAAAGCGAATGTCGAGAAAAATTTTTCATCGCGTTCAAGTGCAGCCTCGCGTAACGCGATAGACAGATTGAGAAGAGCCGGTGAAAACTCGAATACCTTATAAACACGAAGGTGTTTCTGTCCAAGAGATAGCAATCTTAATTCTCCGCACTTGCATATTTTTATTGCTCGTGTGCACGAATTCTTTCGTACATTCCACTTCCTTCAGATGTGTAAATATTTCTACGTTTCGTTCGAAAGTCACGGAACACCGGTTACATTTTGCGACGTCTCTGACACGCGCCAAAAGATAGATGATGTATTTAAAACGCGCGGGACTGTCCATAGCCCAGATATTTGATGACTCAACCGTCGAAAACTGGTCTGCTTATTTAGCTCGGTAAAATTTTCTTAATGAATATATGTAAATACGAAGAGATTTGGAGAAATTCATCTCGACACCGAAACGCGTTTTTAACATATTTTCACTCGAACGTTTAACGCAGTTCTCGTTCATCTCGAAAACGTTATTCTACGATGTGTCTACATACCAGTTGACAAGCTTTTAACGCTTTCGTTTCAATGCAAAATAGGCAGAGTGTGAAAGCATGTGTAGGAGCAGCTGATGTCCCCCTTTTCATTCGTACATCCAGTCCTCTGCCCAGGATCGTATCCTTATCTTTGCGTGCCCTTCGATTTCCTATTCTGCTGATGCCTTTTTGCCAAATAAACCGTTAACAAACAAAAATCAAATGTCGTCTATTTTTTAACATGTGCTGCCCCTATGAAGAACTTTTCGAACTTTGTCTCAAATGTAATGCTACTTTTTATTTCCAATTAATTTCGAAGATTTGCCATAGTTACAGACCCCTTCCCTTTTTTTCTCGAGAAAAGAGAGTAAAAAGGAAAAAAAAAAGAAGGTATTCCAACTTAATTAGCTGCGATCTCAGACCGTTAAGAATGTTCCTTTCCGAGTAAACGGTATTTGGCTGTAGCCGTGGTGAACGCTTCGGCTCGTCTAATCGAGTCGTGGAAGAATGCAGCGAGAGAGTTGATTTTCCCATGCAATTCGCTTTGTTTCACGTGAAATCGAGGAAAACGATATTTTTTCATGCGATTGCGCGAAAAATCGTAGGGATCGAACGCGAATCGCAAAAGTCGAACGCGATCGTAGAATCTTCTTCGCCACAACATCGAAGGAGAAACTCCGTCGAAACATTTCTCTTTCCTTGTATAAAGCGTCGAATAGTCTTATGCAGTTTAAAATAACACGAAAGCTGCAGCAGTAGCAGCAGCAGCAGCAGCAGCGAAGGAAAATATACGAAAAGCAAGGTTAGGCACTGGCGCTACGGTATATTAAGCATAGAATTCCTTTCGAACGTTATATCCAACGTAAAAACAAGTATTACGGGAGTTGATCGAAAATAGCGAAGCAAACAATGCGGTAAAAGCCAGATTTCGCGGTAAGAATGTTAAAGAATAATGGGGTGGGAGCTGATACGTTCACGCTTTTACCGTGATAGCAAGCCAGCAATGATGTCTTTTTTATTAAATCTTATCTCAAATATCCCAAGTTTTCGCCGAATTTTCAAGTTTCATGTTCGAGCTGAACATTCTAGATGCAGTATCGTTCGTAATACGTGTACCAAAGATTTATCTGCAGTTACGCCCATTTCTGTTTATCTTGCTTTCGAGTCGACGATTATTTTGACGGGCGGCAAATGTGTAACGGTTTTCTGGCGTTCAACCGAGCTGTGACGAGACACTGGTAACCTGATACGTCATAAAGAAAAAGCATCGGAAATGATCGATAGTTTAACGAAACTTTTTCCTTTTGTTCGCAGTTCAAAGAGCGAAGAACTTGTTAACCAAAGGGAAACACAGTAAGTACCTTCATTCTCGTATGTTATTAGAATGTTTACATAATGCGGCAAACGTCCGGAAAGTGTAGCGATTCTAGCCAACTTTTTACACGATACGTGTTCTCGGGTCTCGTGGCCCACGAGTCGACGTAACAATTTGTCGGTGTCGATGATTCTTTCATTCAACCGAGTCTCCAATTTCAAAGCAGTGGAAAACGAATTTTTCGTCCACGTTGCGTCACTGTTGTTCGTATTCCAATTTCGCAAAGCATGCAAACGCGCATACCTCTGATACTCGTAAATACATCACGTAACAGTTACGATTAGATGCAACACCATCGAGTACTGTACTAAATTCGTAGCGAGAGAGAAAAGAGGCAAAGTTAATTGGTTAATCAAGTTGAGGAAAAACAGGTTAGCTGTATTGTTTATTTTGAAAACGACCGAAGGTTCGCGGTATTAGATCGTTAACAACAAATTCGATATCTAACAGACGAGCGAGCAATTAACACTGTCTGGACAACGGAGGAGAATCACGCGAAGGTAATTTATGCGGGTAATAAGTGGACAATAAAAGCCGCCTCCTGTGAGATTTGAATATGTACTCGTTATGTAGCTTGTTAATCGTAACCTTGCGGTTGACCGTCTCCACCCACGTTAAACGTTTGAACCTAATCACACAGAGAGCAACGATTGTTTCGTCACGATCGCACTTGGAAAGGAGAAATATCAGACGTCCGTGAAGGAGAAATCACCGAAAGACGTGGAATGGCACGAGGAATGCGAATTACTTATCCCGGAACAAGGAAACACAGCGGAAATTGTCCTTACCGCCCTTCATCGGAATTTCTTGGGTGTCGACGAGTTCCTTGGTACCATCAGCGTCCCCCTCTCCAGCTTCGACGTATACGAAAGACCGAGGAATCGATGGTACGTAGAGTGCATCATTTCTCATTTCTACCATAAAATAGATTCTAATAATACAGATATTTCTACATCTAGGTACACACTTGGAAGTAAGCCAGGCAAGGAAAATACGAAAGAGAGAGGTGAACTTGAAGTAAAGATAGGTTTCATCGTAAAAGCTGGAAGTTTGACCGATTTGAGTCATAAAGAACGGCACAAAAGCTCCCTTGGTCAGTTATCCACGGCTGCCCACTCGATCGGTGGAAGTTTACTCAGCATAGGTAGCTTCGAGAAGCGCAAAGGCTTGAAGAAATTAGCAAAATCCATTGGAAACCGCGTGAAAGGAAAGAGCAAGCATAACATACACAAGGGGGATGACTTAGACGAAAGGGAGGAGCATAAATTCAGGACTACTCGACAGGAACCTGGCGAGGCTGATCCTGGTGTTATCAGCGAGGACGAGGACGAATTTACGGTAAATTCAACCACACGTTGTTATTCTGAACGTTTGTGCAATAATTCGTCCGCAACTGCCTTTATTTCAGTTCGACGACTTATCCCATAAGAGTTCAGCGTCGTCTTTAAATGCTCCCGTGGTGGGTGGCAACAGTAACAGCGTGGGTTCGATAGCCTCGAGCACCTCCTCCGGTAATAATGTTAACGATGCGCATCATCTCCCTCCAGCGCCAATAAACGCAGCACCTAGCAAACCGCCACGGTTCTCCATGAGTGCATCCACCACATCTTTATCCAAGGTGGATTGTATCAAGGAGGACGAATGGGGTTTGAAACTTTATGGAAAGCAAGTTAATAATAATGTTAAAAGGTAAAGAAAGTTTTCTTGCAACGAAAGCCTTTGGTGGACGAAGAGAGGTTCGGTTGTAATATATTTTGGTGTAATTAGGTGGGAACGTAATCCAAGTCCTAAAATTGTGATAGACGAGCCAAAGGACGAACATCGCGAATCTTCCCCTGTAACTTCACCGTCGTCGACTTTGAAGCGTCACGAAGCTCCGGAACCTCCGAGTCCGGCACCACGAGAAATTTTCCACATGAAGAACAGGGAAGAAAAGTTTGTGTCGAATAAAGAGAAGAACGCGAAAGAAGAGAAATTGAAGGAAAAGAAAGAGGATAAATATGGTTACTGGAGTCCGAAGGATGAAAAGCAACAAAGAAAGGACAAGAAAAAGGACAAAGAGAATAATAAGTTGAAGGATTTCAACGACGATAACACTTTATCTACGGAGAGAATTATCATCGGAGGTGAAGACGCGGTTAGAACAGTGACAGGAAAAAGCCACTTGCCTCATGAAGTACTCGCTCAATTTGAAGGAAAATCGAGAGAGGTAATTACTACTTATAATCGCAATGATTAATTAATCGTTCTAATTGCAAAAGGTTACGTTACGTGACTTTTAAATTTTGTGAACACACAGGATCTGATAGAGCTGACGCTACAACTGCAAGCGGACGTAACAGAGAAAAAGAAACGCCTAACTGACTTGGAAGATTATATAGATGCGTTATTACTGCGGGTAATTGAATGCTCACCGCGGTTGCTACAAAACCCATACCAGTCACAGAGACGATTACGACGTTGAGGTTAATTGCGTTGTCCAGTGTAATTAGTGATAATTGCATAGCGCTCGTTCAACCTGCTCCGACCGTTTCATATATGTTTGACTGCAACTATCTTATAGTCCACGTGCTTTAATTTATTTTTCAACTAACAATTAGAATTTTTATATAATTTGCACGTATTTCTCGTTGACGTCGCTTTTTAAAGTGTATAAACTCTTGTTGAAGTTTAGCATATTGTTATCGTTTCAACAAAGAATTTTATTAAGGTTTACATATATATGTACATGTTTTAAAGGGCAAAGAAAAGGTGTGCGGTGTTTGTGCCAACCGTTTGTAAAATGAGAAAAATATGCGAATATTCCCCTAGTCTTCCCAAGAGAAACGATTGTTCATCCAAAAAAATGGTATTTCCGTCCAAAGTACGATCCCAACAAATACAATTAAAAGTAATATTTGTATTTTTTAATAATTTACATAAGAAATTCTTCATAAAATATGTATCATATTTTCACGAATATATTTAAAAGAAACAATAAACTATTACACGATCTAATTGCGCAAATATTGACGTATCCTAAACTCACACAAGTATATCTTCGACGTGAACTTTATTAATAACTTACTGTCATTTTGCCATAAAACAAGGTGTAGATTTGACAAAGGACATGTATTATTTAATAACCTTGAACTACATAACTTTTTTTTTCGAAAGCATAGTTTTATTGTAAATAATGGGTGTACGTGTGTATGTGTGCAGAGAGCTGCACAGCAAAAGTACGATCTGTACACATGATCAATGTTTATAGGTTGTATAGTCATTATTTATCCTGATATACCCGTGGAGATTGAAGTAACTTGCTCGTTTCCTATTGAGATGTTCGTGATGCGATAGTATCGTACGCTTATGTTTTCGTTGTGATTTTTCTAGTAATTTCTTTATAAAAATAACATCTTATTAGTAGTCAGTAATGACTGATAGTATAAATGATAACGATTCAGCAAATTTAAATACAGTGTCCGGTAAGTTTTTACGTTCTTACTAACACCTCTCTTTTGACACCGGTCATGTGAGGTTAGATTTCTTGAAACACAACGGTTGTATTGGACATAAAGATTTCCTATAATTTTAAAAGAATTCTCTCGATATTCGTATCTCACGCAACTGTTTGAATTGTATAGGTGACGAATGGTAAGAAATATATTAATTGTAACTGTGATATTATTCGGAAATTACAAAGGTGACCTTAGAATTAAGAATCTTTTGCTGTCTTCTTCGTATATACCACGCGGTCAAACGATATAGTTCGTTTTCTCGTATGTAAACGTAATAGAACATTCTCTGAAAGTCAATTAGAACACAAATAAATAGCGAATTAAACGATTATAAAATATAATTTACAGAGCCATCCGTGATGGAAACATGTACAGCAGGTCCCCTAGTCTTGTATTCAACTGCGCAAGCATGGGCAGCTCAGTTTCATCGCAGTCTTATGCCTGCCAGGCTGTCAGAGTCCTCCGACGACGAAGACTATTCTCAGTATCAATTCGAAGATGACCTGGACTACCTTAGGTCATTGGACCCAAAGGAGTGGAAAGATCAGGATCATTACGCAGTCTTAGGCTTGAAAAAGCTCAGACACAAAGCAACCGAAGATATTATAAAAAGGGCTTGTACGTAGAGAAAGTTCAAAGTATACTCTGTAAAGGAATGTAGGTGTTATATCGTTCAATGTCTTGCTTGACACAATGATTAACCTCGTTGAGGAGTATTTGATATGTGAATTACAGATAAGCAGAAAATTCTCAAACATCATCCTGATAAACGTAAGGCCATGGGGGAGGAAATTCGGCCGGACGACGATTATTTCACCTGCATAACCCGGGCTTGGGAAATTTTGGGAAACCCTACGAAGCGGCGAAGTTACGACAGCGTGGATCCGTATTTTAGCGACGATTTGCCGGACGAGAAAGACTGTAAAAATAACTTTTACGTGGTAATGGGCAAAGCGTTCAAAGAAAATGCTAGGTGGTCTACGAAAAAGTTAGTACCGCGATTAGGTGGCCCAGACACACCTAGGGATAAAGTAGAAAAATTTTATTCGTTTTGGTACGACTTTGATTCGTGGCGCGAATATTCTTATTTGGACGAAGAAGATAAAGAAAGCGGTCAAGAGTAAGTGATTCCTTCAATTGGGCTATACAACGAGATTTTCGTGTTTTCTATTGTTTTTTTTAATTTTCAACTAATCTCTCTGAATTAATTCTTTAGTCGTGATATGCGTAAATGGATCGAGAAGAAGAACAAAGCAGCACGGGCAAAACGGAAGAAGGAGGAAATGACTCGTATACGTACCTTAGTCGATATGGCGTATAATGCAGATCCTAGAGTAAAGAAATTCCAACAGGAAGAGAGAGACAAAAAAACAGCAGCGAAAAAAGCAAAACAAGAGGCGGCAAAAGCGAGGCAACAAGAGGAAGAGAGAATAGCGAGGGACGCGGCAGAAAAGGAGAGGCTAGAAAGGGAAAAGCGGGAGAGCGAAGAAAAAGCAAAATTGGATGCGCTCAAGCAGGAGAGGGAAGCGCAAAAGAAGGCGCTTCGTAAAGAAAGAAAAGCGTTTAGAGATTTTTGTAAAGCGAATAATTACTTCGCAGAAAATTCGGCGGAAAATATTATTCATATGGAGAGCGTGGAGAAAATTTGCGAGCTTTTCAAGCTTGTTCAATTGGAGGAAGCGATGAAAAAATTACAGTCCGAGGGTCGAAACGCGTTTCTCGGTATCGTCGAAGAGACTGAAAAGAAAATTGAAGCTGAACGTAGAGCCGGCGTTACTTCTAGCGATATGCGAAATACTCCCGAAAAGCAAGTAAAATCTTACACAGCTCCGTGGTCCGAAAACGACTTGCAACTTTTGATAAAAGCGGTAAACTTATTCCCAGCGGGAACGAATCAACGGTGGGAGGTAGTGGCGAATTTCATCAATCAACATAGCAGCTCGTCTGTTGGCGTAACTCGCGATGCGAAGGAAGTACTCGCGAAAGCTAAAGATTTGCAATCGACAGATTTCAGTAAGTCTAGTCTGAAAGAGCAAGCGAATAAAAAAGCTTTCGATAATTTTATCGCGGAAAAGAAGGCGAAAGAGTCTGTGGAGGATCGAATGCCAGCCGTGACGGAACGTCTGGACCATCCAATTTCCAACGGTATTACCTCGGAGCAAAAGGATTCGAAGAAAGAATTGCAACCGTGGACCCCGGCGGAGCAAAAACTGTTGGAGCAAGCTTTGAAAACTTATTCTACGAGCGTGCCTGATAGATGGGATCAGATAGCGGCGTGTATTCCAACCAGAACGAAAAAAGAATGCATGAGGAGGTATAAGGTACGTTTGTAAATAAATAACGAGTTGGAAAGAAATTCGTGTATTTGATAATTTGATAATTATCCTGAAGTAACGTGTATAATCGGTTGCAGGAACTGGTCGAACTCGTCAAAGCAAAAAAAGCGGCACAAGTGATGAAATAATATTAGCCTGTCCTTAATAAGAAGATTCTTTTTAACTTATTCAATTCGGATACAAAGAAGTTCGTGAATCTGTTCGGGTAGGAAAATGTTGATTTTGTGAGTTTTGGAAGACGGACGAATTTTAGCTTTCACCGAGCGCCAGCTATTGTATATACCTGTGCCTTGCTTTAGTTTGTACGTGCACAGTTTGCAACGACGGTTCTAGGAGTTTTCTGCTACTTACACGCAAGAAAAAAAAAGCAATTGCTGCACGTAGTGACTGTACATGTATCGCAATCGTTGACTGCATGGAAAAATCATGGTCCCAAGGTTCTCGAGTTAACGTTCCTGAAAATAAATCTTTTCTCACATAACGACCCTTTTTGCAATCGATCCGAGCGATCGAAAGTGTCATGTAAGTAATGTAAAATACGATACTAGAGATCAATCGCCGTTTTTAGATCGAAGCATACATATACTTTATAAATAAAGACGAACGACATTTGAAAGATAACGCGTGTTACTCGACCTTCACCCGGACACGGAATCAGAATATCAGATGTTTGAAATCCTTATATTTTTAATTTGACACATTTTTGACAACATTAACAACAACAACAATTTTTTGTGTTAGTTTCTTTCTATTCAGCGAATACTGTCCATGCAGTTCCTTCGTCGTTCTCGCCAGTCTCGTTCGCACAATATCGGAACCACATGCACGTATCGTAGCGTTCAAATGTCACTGCGCTCAACATTTCGCTTTTCAGTTAACAAAGCCGTTTTTAGAATCTCGGTTAACGCGTCTGAAAATCACACGACGGGCGAAAATGTAAAACGAAGCGAAGTATCGAGCGTAGGTTCATCGGTAAATCGTTCGCGTGTTGGAAAAACAGAGAGAAAAGAAAAAAGAAAAAGAATAGGGTACGAAAGCGTAAGGCTAGCCGGCTGAGTCGGATTCGTGTTCGCGACTTGCTCGAGTTGTGTGCCTGCCTTTCGACACTTGTTTCCAAAGAAATGTAAACATAGAGAGCTATAGATATTTGTGATGTTAATTCGTTTCATTCATTCATACGATAAATCAGTTTCGCTGCTTGGCGAAATTCTCAAGTGAACGCAAGTGTCGCATTTCCTTTTCCGATGTACTCTCTATATAAGTACATAAAGTATCACTTTACGGTGCAGAAAGAAAGTTGTATTCGCGATTCTGCATTGCACCACGCGTTCCATTCTCGTGTCGTGTGCGATAAAAAACAATCGATACTTGCAATTGTACTGCGAGAATTGTATATAATTTGTGTACTCATTTGAGTTGGACGAAGAAGTAGGAAATGTTTCGGAACGGTGATGCCTCAACTAGAATCATTTTTTCAACGATGTTCCTTTACGTTTGTTCGTCGCCATGTGCTATGAAACGTGGAGAGAGTTAGTTGTTAATGGAAACTGGCGGTAAGAGGATAAAGGAAAGTGTTCGGTTGGTAGGAAGCAGGGGAGAAGAGGAGCGGAAAAAGAAAAACGGCAGTATATCGTGTGCGTGTCTGTTGGTTGTGCATCTTAAGGTTGTGGATCTTAACTCTGTAAAATTCCTAACGGACTAACGAGAATTTCGCAAATGCACAAATAGTACCCGTTTCTTTTTCTTCAACGTGAGATACATACGTGCGTATGTACATATTTAGTTTGCCTGGTCCTGGCGCATAGGAGCACGTTTCCTCGACTTAAAATTCCAGTTTACTCGAGAAAATGTAAGCATCGCGATTCGTTTGGTTCGACATCCGAATATACAAATAATACGGTTACTGCTTGGGTAAGTAATTGAATTGAATATATAATAGTTCAACTAAAGAATTATTAGACATACGTTTACATACGATACACTTGACGAATTTTTGCTTTATTTTCGATATTACGAACTATATCGTCGCATCAATCGTCGAACCGGATTTAATCGATTAGTTAGTTATATTGTGCGCATTATTTGGATATCGTAACGTAACTGTATTATTCGTATAGCCGGTTATCGCATGATTCAATCGATCGCCAACTGATTCGTCAGAAATTTCATCCGGATATCTGGCATTTAAGATCGCTGTTGTTTCTAGCGAGAATTATAACGTTAAACCGAACCTGACAATTGAAAGCCTCGATGGCATTTGGCGTCGTCCAAACGACTGTGTCTCACCACGAACACCTCTATCTAACTAATTTAAAGTTAAACTTTTAAAACTTAATATTTAAATTTAAACTTTTCAAACTTAAGAAAAGAAAAGAGGAATCGCGTCACTTTTCGTTTACGCAACATCGTTGGTCGAAGTAGTATGTCTCTTAAAAAAACGATGACAACGTTTTGCGTGAACATCGTTTATTACCGTATCGATATAAGAACGTCTTAATAAAAATAAACGGCGCGAGTAGCGTGTGTGAGTGCCAAAGCTGTGCCACGAGTCCGGTATCGCCGGTAAACACAGATCGTCGCGCAAGATTCGACCGGATTTGTAAAAATGAAATTGAAAAACTCGGGGGCGGATGTTTATTTTTCCTTGGATTCGTTCTAGATGGGCAAATCTACAGTATAATTCTGTTACGATCTATCGATAATCGTTTACGTGGATCGATGGTCAAAGTGATCCGAGTAATTAATCTGACATGTAGACGCTAGGTGGCTCGCAATTGCACGCTTTACGCCTGTATATACGCGGTTCTATCGTTGGTTACGAACGAGGAGGAATGTTGCGCGGCGTGTGTTTGATCGGATCGTTAACGGTTTTGAACGATCGTAAAGGATCGTAACGTCCGTAAAGGATACCGAGATTTTGTGCGTGGTGTGAAAAGTGTTTGGATTAGTGGCACGATGAACGAGTACATGCGTGTTAGAGGGCTAGCGAGACCGAAGAGGGAAGGCATTAAAAGGAGCGGTTTCCCCGCGATTTTCGCGTCGCGTCAATTGCCTCTCGTTCGGTGTACCAATCAGCCGTACGCATCGATAATCGTGGTCAGTCTCTCGTAACATAGAAAACATTGGTCTCCTCCCTAAACGTGTCTAATAAATAACACTTAAGCGACAACGGTATGTCCCGCGCGCTGCTCTTAATCCGACATTACGATTTTAAAGGTAAGAATTTCTTTCTCTCTACGCATCGGTATATTCTACGGATCGGTGTAAACGCCACATTACAACAGTATAAAAAGATCGCTATAGACAAATACGTAATCGTTTAAAAATACGCTGGAAAAAACGAATACGAAAGGTCGACTATGTATAACGCGAGTAGCATTTCCCAGGACGATTGCTAATATCGCGCGCGACTTGTCGCTTTCTACGAATATCCATCCCTTTCGTTCGATTATCTCTTCTCGTACGTGATTGTACCGCTTGAAGGAAGCCGCGCGCGTTACTACTACTCGACTATGTCGGCTCCTCACACACACCACGTATCTATACCTTATCGTACCTCTAAGAAAATGTTCAAAGACGTATCCGTCGACTTGTTCGTTTCATTTTAAATAGCGTTTAGTTTCTCTTTGGTTCCCTTTGTTGGCGAAGGGCCCGCGTCGGCCGCGGCTCTCCGAACGTAATTTTCACGCGTAACAAGGATGCATACATGTACGCCATCTAGTTACATACATATCTAACAAGATCGATAGATCGATCTTTCGATTGAATTGAACTGCACGCGCGCGTAAAATAAAGGAAGGAATCGACGTAGGATGTGACGAGAAGTGAAAGAAAATGGTGGAGCAGTTGAAAAAGAAACGCAACATGGCTGACGCGTTTGCGACGAGTCGAAGGTAGAGAACGCTTAGAATCGAAAAAGGTGTGTGCCGAGAGGAGGTTCCAGAGAACGTGGTTCTGAAAATGTCATCGATGAAAATTATTGTCGAAGTCGTTCCAAGGTACACGAGAAATGTATTAAACGGTGTCGATTGTTTCGGGCTCCCTCGAACGATTATTCCGGGCTCTCGTCAATCACGTCCGCGAGAATGCTTGGAAAGAAAGAACAGTGGAAGCTGACATTTGGACATTCGTCGCTCTCGGTTTCGAATCAATTTTTCCCCTCTTCCAGAACTCGACTTTCCGAGACTCGAAGATAGCAGCTCGCCCGATTGTTTTTCAGCGTGTGTGTAAAAGTGGCGTAATTAGTCGGTGGTACATCCGCAAAACCACGTGCCTATTGGACGTTTTTTTCCACTTTCTTTTTTCCTCCGAAATATTCTTCATTCGTTACGCGTTCGCGATCGTAATTCGACGCCCCTTCCACGATCGTCGTCGAAGCGTCTGCTCCTCTCTTTCCGGTCTCTCGTGTTTCCGCCTTCCGCGGGGAACGAGTACGCGAAGTATTACATATTTCCCGGTAAGTTTGCGAACCGACGATCGGATGAAAGGTCGAAGTTGTGCGCGACGTCTGCGGAGACGAGGATTTTCTCGCAACGTTCGTTCCTTCTCGCGTTCTAGAAAATTTGTGCGTGGAAGGGAACTCTCTTTCATTGTCTTCCTCTCGTTTCACGTGCACACGCTCTCACACAACCCGTTCCTATTATCTCTTCCTGCGGCCTTTCACACACACACACACACACACACACACGCGCGCGCGCGCGCGCGCGCGCGCAGCTATAAGAATATACACATATATTTATACGAGTGGAAATTTGTATCCGGGACGTAATTTGTAAAAATCGCGAGTCTAAAAGAGGGGTAAGGGTAAAATGGTCGGAACGTTCGATAGAAAAGATGATCGGCATTCGGTTAGGTGTAGGTACGCGGTGGCGGCGGTGGTGTCGGACGTTTCCGGAAGTTAGGACGACTGTGGGTGTCCAGGGTGCGACAAAAAAGTGGCGTCGAGCAGAGGAACTCGAAATCTAACCGAGTCGAGTTACGCGGTTGGTCGGTCGTAGGAAAAATTGTGCATCGGTGCGTGTAGAAGCGTCGTACAATCGAATCTCGCAGCGTTCGCGTTTATCGGCCATTCATCCTCACGCGTCAATTGTTATACCCGCAACGTATATGTACAGTTACATACGAATAATAATAATAATAATAGTAATAATAGTAATAATAATAATAATAGTAATATGTATGTGTATATATATATACATACATATATACACATACATACATGTATATCCTTAGAATACCGTAGCGTACACACTCGACACGCAACTTGCTTCGTAATTCGCGGTAATAGTACTTTGTCTAAGTTGATAAAAGTCTTCTCTGGTCCGAAAGAAGTTACAGATACTTAGGCACTTGTTATCTCATCTAGAATCCATCGTACGAAGAGCAATAATGAGTTCAATTATGTATCCTAAAGAACGGTAATAGAAGGAATTAAGTGTTCTAACGAGAAGAACGAGAGCAATAAGGATTGAATCGTTTGCGCCTCGTTTCGCGCGAATACCTCTCTCCTCGAACTATTCATCTCTCCGCTGTGGGTGTCTCTCTTCTCTTCGATGGCCCCTCGATCCTAGACGTTTCCGAGTCGCTCGCGCACCGATGCTTCTTCGATCGCGTTGCTCTCGTTGCTTTATTGCTTGCGTCTCACCCCCTTGTTTCGCCAGTCTCTCTCTTCACCCTGGAAATCGTACAACAAGAGCAGAGAGAAAGTTTCAATTCCCTCGTTTCGTTCACCGGAAACTGCCAGGCGAATTACGGAGAGAGATTGGTTTGCGCGTCCGCGACCAACGAGTCTGGTTCGTTTCGATTCCCCCGTTGCTTCTTTTCGGTCGCCAAACCGAAATCTGCCCGGGGAGCGAGGGACGCTTGATCTCGCGAGGATCAGAGGCGTTCTCGTTCTCGAGGTTAGGTGAACGGGCCGAGAAGACGGTCGTCCTCGCGTCGCTAAGACGGTGGCGGTTGTTGTTGTTGCTGTTGCTGTTGCTGCTGCTGCTGCTGCTGCTGCTGCTGCTGTTGCTGCTGTTGCTGCTGTTGCTGCTGCTGCGTCGTTAGATCCGACGTGGCCGGTGCTGCTTGTCCACCACCACCGTGATAGTACGATCGATATGGTTGTTGCTCCTGCAGCGGCTGATAGCCGATACCTGTCGGCTGCTGACTTTGCTGATAGGACGGCGTCCATTGCTGGTCTGCAGCCTGTTGTAACTGGTAGGTGAGCGGTTGCCCGCGACGTTCTTGTAGAAGAAGCTGATGGGCCGCCCTATCCATCTCCTCGCGCGTCATATCCAGCGCCTCTTGCATCTCCCGCGACGTGTATCTCACGAAATCTGGATCGCAATACTTGCCCAGACCTTGTTCCACGAGAACCTACGGGGGAAAGTAGCACCTCACGTTGAATCGTTCGAAAAGACGAAGAGGAAGGGGAAGGTGTTCCGCTTACCCGGCCAACCAGGCTCTCCGCACTCCCAATCACCTCGAAGTTGGCCTTCCGATCGGCAGGGCTGCCTGGTAAACTGTGAGACAGGCGCTCTGCGCCGATGCTCCCGTTACTCTCTCCGGCCCAGGAAACTGACGAACGAGGAGAGCCGTGAAGGAATTAAGCTCGTTGCGCTACGCTCTGCCTCTACGATATCTCTCAAGAACGAGTTGGTGCGACACGTGGAGCGGTTGCATGGTTAGTTTGCGTCAAGCGAATACATCACACTCAGAACACACGGGTTACGGACAAACTATTAGGCAGAACGCATGCTTCGAGCGGTATAGAAACTCCTCATGCGATATACACACACACACACACACACACACTTTACTCTAACCCGCCCACGTCTCCCATCGTGTCCTCGTATGCTTTTTCTACTGGTTAGTGTGGCACAGAGGGTGCAGCTTTTCCCGTAGGGTGCGAGAACTTGGGACGCGTGTGCGTGCGAGTTTGTCCGCGTTTTCATCGCAATCGTGAAACGAACGCCTTCGGAGATGCGCCGATCCAAAGGAACCACGTGTACAATGCCACGCGCACTTCGCTTTGGCTCGACTGAAAAAGGCGGCCGATGCGATTGAGAAAAGGATGTTGGCGAATCTGAGAGAAATGTCGCATTGGAAGGCGATAATAGGCGTGTATTAGTGAGGATTAGTCACCTCTGCCGTGGTAAGAGGCCCGATGCGACAGGCAGGAGGCGCAGACGCGAGCGTGGCGCGTGTCGACGTCGGCAAGGAAGCCGGCGACGGCGATCGCCTGGGTCTGGGCGAGCTTCAAGCCGTTGGCGACGGTGCGCGCGAACCCGGTACTCGCAGACGTTGTCGAGCTGCTCGACTGCCCGCCACCGCCGCCACCGCTGCCGCCAGTTTCCCGTTTGCGGAAACTCGACGGCGCCGACTTGCCGACCAGACGACCCCGAGCACGACACCGAGACGACGCCAGCTCCTGCCTCAGGCTCCCTCCGCGACGTCCCCCGACGACCACCTTCTCCGAGTTGCTCCAACCGCTAGACCCACCGGACACTCCTGACCCTCCTGAACCTCCGGACGCGCCGCACTCGCTGTAATCGCTCGTCGCCGACGAGTCCCCGTCCTCCCGATCTATGGCTGCCGTGTTATGCAGGCCACACCGTTTTTTTTTTACCATTTTACACCGCGAACCTACATACGTAGCGTTTCGCTAGCTTTCCTAATAACGCGCTCCAATTCGTCGATAGCAGGCGAGACAACTTTTCTTTTTTTTTCCTTCTCTCGCGAAATAGAAGATGTAAGAGATAGAGTGAGACACAGAGAAGAGATAGAGAAAGAGAAGAGAAGAGAGAAGAGAGAGAGAGAGAGAGAGAGAGAGAGAGAGAGAGAAGAGAAATCGTACCGTGATTACTCCAGACGGCACAATCGACGCAGCAGCCTCGACTCGCGTAACACCTCGTCCCGTTGGAGGATGAACCGAGGCTCGGGCTGGTCGTGGCGGTCGACGTGTTCGTGCTCGACGTGTTCGTGCACGTGGCGATCGAGGTCGTTGCGCTGGCGGACTTGCTGGACGAGACTTGCACGGTGTGCAGGGTGCCGGTGCTCGGATCAATGGACGGGGGTGGGTTCCTTCGGGGTGGTGGCGTCGGTGGGGTCAGCTGCCGCTCGATTCCGTCCTGAAGACTGCGTCGAGCAGCCGCGACGACGTCGACAAACCGTCCGACGCACCAACACCGCGTCGCGCGGACACGATTGGGCAACAAACACAGAACAACGGGCAAAAAACCACTCTCTTAGTTTGTTAGCGCTCTCCGGCCGTTTTGCCGCCCTGCGTCCTCGAGAACCCGGACCGGGAACCTCCTTCTTTCCGCTCCGCTCCGTTCTTCTCCGTTCCGGGCGCTCGACGACGTCGCGAAATTTCGAGAACGAGAACGGCATGCAATTGGTTGCGTAACGAGAGGGGGGAGAGAAAAAACGGGGCCGCCGGAGCCCCGGACGCGTGAAACCTCGCCAATTCCTCGTCGGTTCTCGACCTCTTTGCTCCCAACTTCTCGAGAATCGGTGAAACTCGACGAGAGTGGTCGAGGTCCGGTGGTTAGTGGTATACGCATGCAAGCGCGAAAGCGAGAAATGCTATTCGATCAAGTAAAAAAAGCAAACTATCCACTCCTCTCCCATAGCCCTAACTTCTCTTACCATATTCGCTATTCGGATGAAGGTAGTTACCGCTACCTGGACCGCTGAAACGTACAATTCACCGATCACAATTCACCGATCACATGCGCATGTCGCCCCTCTTTTCCCACTTTCTACATTCTCGGCACGCGCGATCGTTTTAACGCGGCCCATTAAAAAGGGACACTCTACTACCGATCGACGGACGCGACCTTGGATGGAAACGCGTGTACAACTGCCGAAGGGCTAGACAGAAATATCACCGCGACTTGTGCTTGTCTACTTACTCGACCACTTTGTACGGGAGATGATGATAGGGCTGCTGTTGGACGGGATTCCCGAACACGGCCAACGGTCTCAGAGGTATGCTCTCCTCGATGCCTGTCAGCTTTGGATCGATTCCCATTTGGTTCATCGCGCTGTCGCTCAGACCGCTAAACACACACACACGCGCGCGCATACATCGTTCTGTGCTCTCTTTAAATTATCTATCGCGAGAAACTAACCCTGCTACGTTTGGCACAACTTGATGAGACCTCGCGGTTATTTGATTCGACGCGTCATGCCCGCCTCCCCGTTGAAGCGACGAGTACGGCAGGAAGTCTATGGAATTCGTCGGGGAAGCCTGCGAATGACAACGCTTTACGTCAACCTGCTTCCAACTTTCCTCGTCCGCGAGATATTTACCTTGGTCGTCGAGTTCACTTTTAGCGACCTGGCTCGGTTGAAATTGTGATGTCCTTTCCTCATACTCGACCAAACGCTGCCGAACAGCGAATGATTTCTCTGCGGAGAAATAAAACGCAACGTGTCATCGCCGAGCTTTGAACTTGTAAAGTAGGCTAGTTTGTTTTACGCGTTTCTGTACCCTATGCATTGGTTCCGGATTGTCGTCCGCAAGTTCCTCCAAGTTTCCGGAAATTGCTCTCTTCAATTCAGGTCCAGCTTCGTGCAGAGTTCTCAGACCAGCCTTTAACCAAACGATCGGGATTACCCGGGATGGACCGGAGTGGAACTTGAAGCAACTTACCTGTAGCGTGACGGTGTTGTGACACTCTTTGTCTCCATCCTTCATTTCCTGTTCCTTGCGCTTTTTGAACCTTCTGAAGTAGTCCTGAATTAAGAAAGTCGCGTAGAATTTGCCAACGGTTACTTCGTCGTCGCCTGCAACACATTTTCCACCACTCGCGTTTCTTCTCCCGTCACCAAACTGTCTCAAGAACGAGGAAAAAAGATACCTCCAGGAGGTGGGACAACTTGATCCAGAAGCTTGGGGCTGGTCCTCTTCCAAATTTTCTTGATCACCGCTCGAAGTTCCGCGTTGGCGTCGTCGATATTTCCCTCCGTCTTGATCCGCAACGAAGTTCTCACCACGGCGAACAGCGTCGCGTTGAATAGGACCGTGCCGTCGCTGTTCAGCGGCATGTTCATCGAGACTAGCCTCTGAAAACGTTGCCGGAATTCTCGGTAATACCGTGTAGCGTCGAGCAGCGAGAACAGGGATGTACGCTCACCTTGCACGCGACTCGATGAGGACAGAGTTTGCCGAAGCCCAACGGGGGAGATATCTTTCTGAGGAGAGTCACCACGTCCAGGTGTTTGATGCGACCTTTCGCGTCGGGATCGTACTCGGACCACAACCGAATGAATTCGTCCAAATGATGGGGACCCAGGATGGACCAATCCCTCGTCAGGTAATCGAAATTGTCCATTATTACGGCGACGAAGAGATTGATGATCTGCAACGAGCAGGCGAAGGATCAAGTAGACGGTGAAGTTTGGAGAATTTCGTTAGTAGGAGTAAGGAGCTAGGAAGATTACTCACGAGGAAGGAGCATAAAACGTAGAAAGATATAAAGTAGGGAAATGCAATGTCGGATCCACAGCCGCTTGGATTATTGACTTCGTCGCTGTTCGGATCGCACTTCACTTTACCCGGTTGCGCTGAACAGTCCATCATGATTTCCTGCCAAGCTTCGCCTGTAGCTGATCGAAATAGGACCAATACCGCTTGAGGAAACGACTGGAAGTTGTTGTTCCGGTCTATCGACGTGTCGTCGTCGATCGCGATTTTTCCAAACACCTGCGAACACGTGTGCTTTCTCTTCAAACGTCTCTTCTTTCGATACGTTCAGTTACACGTACATACACCCCCGGTTCTATCGATAACAGTGTTACATTTCAGGAATATATTTCCAGAGCGGAAACTGTGATTTCAAACGAAACACTGTTCAACGTGGCAAAAAGGAGGGAGATCCAATTTTCATTATATTTCAATAACACATGACAGGGGTGCATATACATACATATATGGTATGTGTATACGTAGGAAATTTTCACGATCGCTTACCTGCATACCTATCACAGCGTAAATAAAAAATAGCATTATAATAAGTAGAGCTACGTAGGGCAGAGCTTGGAAGGATTTGATGAAGGTCCAGAGTAGCGTTCTGATACCCTCCCCTCTGCTCAACAGTTTCACGAGTCGCATCACTCGAAACAGTCGAAAGAAGTTGATCGAAATTATGGTCGAACCCGGCTGAAAGTACAACGTTCCCGTTCAAATTCACGTTTACGACGGATCGACGCAACTTACGTTCACTTCCGAGTAAACGATGTCGATGAAACTTCCAAGGACTATAATGAAGTCGAAGACGTTCCAAGCATCGCCAAAGTAGTTCTGCAACCCACGATCGCGTTAATTACACATCCGTAGAGAACCGAGAAGACAGGTTCGCACGTTTCTCCGTTACCTTAAATCGAAAAGCCGCCAATTTGAAGATAAACTCGAGGGCAAAGACCGCGGTGAAGATCATGTTGAGAACGTCCAACGCTTCCGTGTAGATTTCCGGTTGTCGATAAAACTTCATCGCTAAGGTCACGGTGTTGATCATGATCAACGTGAAAATGGTGTACTCGAATGGTTGAGAGGTGACGAACCACCAGACTTTGTACTGTATTCGATGCTTCGGTATGTATCGTCGCACTGGTTTCGCCTTTAGCGCGAACTCGATGCAATTTCGCTGGGAAACGAAGACGGAACGTTCGTAGAGACGAAACGTTGATGCACGTCGTTTCGGTTTCGCTATGTACTTACCTGATTCTTGTCGAGCTCGCAATTTTTGTACTCTTGCTCACCCTCGTTCTGGAAAGTGACAATAACGAAACCAACGAAGATGTTCACCATGAAGAATGCTATGATAATGATGTAAATGATGTAGTAAGCGGCCACTATCGGGCGAAAATTATGAATTGGTCCATGATCCTCCTTGTTAGAGTCGATCGACACGTCTAGCAATCTGTTGGGAGAGAAAATACGAACCGGTATGCATCTACGTTCTTTCGACTTGTTCTATTTCTTCGACGCGTTAATGAAAAATACCCGTTACTCGTTACTCGTTACTCGTTACTCGTTTCTCGTTTCAGAAGGAACAAGGGGAAAATTGGTGCGAGTGGACGCGGTACGATTCTACTTACGTCGGCCAGCCTTCGAACGTGGACACGGTGAAGAGCGTGAGCATCGCCTTCGCAACGTCGTCGAAGTGGAAACGATTCTGGTACCAATTTCTCTCCTTCATCACTGGCTTATTGATATTACCGTTTTCGAATTCGAGGTAGGTGCCCCTAAAAGTGGTAACGTAACGAGGTTTTTCTTTTTCTGCGTGAGAATCGTGAACGTCGTCGCTACAGAAACTTCAAGGGAGATACATGTATAGGTGTATCGATCTGTTTTCGTTCTTTTTAAACGAAACATCGATCGTCCCCGGGAAGAATTCGTTCTACTGTAGCGACGACGGCGAACGATATCCCACGACTGGGACTTTGTTTGCGAGATAACTTACTGGCATTCGTCCTTGGTCATTTTCGATGCATCGGTACACAAGAAAAATTTGCCCTATATAACATAAAACCATGGTTAATGCAAAGCAGATCGGGCAACGCGCAACGTTTCAAAAGCTGCCGAACGTATCGATACTCTTCGCCTCGGAAGCCTGTTCTACCGAAATACATATGTATGCTCGCCCTTCAAATCATTTCTCACTCAAATCGTACTCACTTGTACGAGGAGTATCGATCGTGTGAAAACAGCGTATCGTTAATTGGCCATTCTCTAGAGCAAAGTCAGTAGCAGCGAGTGATCGAGCAAAGTAAAGGAAAGATCAAAGAAAAATGGAGAAGTGACAGAAAAAAAAGAAAAAAAAGAAAAAAACATTCCGTTTAACGTGCACATATAATATAATATAGTATAATATGTATATAAATATGTACAAAGTAGGCCGTGGTGCAGGCTGTCTCGTTTGGCCTACACGTCGATCGAGCGACGCGGAACTTGCGCGAGTTTGTAATCGAGAGTCCAGAAAATCGTTCTCGATCGAGCAGTTGAAGAGTTAATCGAAGCATCGCGACTCATCGCTTCCTCGCTTGATCTTTGACTCGTGGAATTTTCGAAATTTAAAAGAAAAGAGTCCTACGTATGTATATACAGAGTTGCCTGGATTCTCAAAGCACGCGTCATTTCTCTATACTTGTACTACTTTTTGTTCGAAACGAAGAAGCTTCGCATTACGATTCGTTCGATTTATTATATTATATATAATACATTCGAGGAAAAAACACCGAGTGCAGCGTGGGTTTCTTGATCGTTTGTTTCGTTTTCCCTTGGAAGGGCTATATCCATATGAGATATACGTAAGGTGAGGGACATATCGTTTGGTTTGTTAGCAGTTGGAACAACGTTCACCGTTAATAGAGACCGGGATCGGAAATGACTATAGGAGCGGCAAGTTTCATGCATATTTTTCTCGATTTCGTGCGAACGGTAACCTAACCACGAGGCAGGTGTACAATAATATCGAGGGAGTTTGCCCGTTGCACGTTTAGACGGGTGCTCTACTTGGAGCCTCGCTTCGCGGGACACCGTCTACCTCTCGAGACACAGCAGCAGACGAAAGACGAGTCCTCTGTCTCTCTGGAGAAATTGCTAAGGGCGAAAGGGGTGGGAAGAAGAAGAAGAGTTGGAAGAATAGCAAAGAGGCTAGCGGCGGTGGTTGTGTTAACTGGATGTGGGATGCTAGGAGGAAATTTGTAAGATTTACTCGTGGTTGCGGTGTACGCGTTCGACGAGCATGCATACTATTGATATACATACACGGTGAAAGCTTCATTCTCACATTTACAGCGAAATTTGCATGCCCAATTTTGTCGAATTGTGTGTCTCTCTATCTGGAGTTCGATGGCTATGATGCATTCGTTAAAGTGGTGTGACGAGTAGGTTATTACTCTCGGTGAAGGTTCTAGCCCCGGCTGGTTTTCTTGGTGAAGCGTTAAATCGTTAACATCGTGTTACCGTGCTCGAGGGTGTTATCGTGAACGCAGAGACTCTCTGCAAAGGGTAATATTGGCAGCAACGATGTATCCTCGACTAGGCTGATCAATCAACGTCCCAGTTTCATGCTCAACGTTACGATCCTGGCTAATGTTCCGCTAACGTATTATCGGTTCGTAAGGGGGACAGTGACTAATGTAACGAGGAAGATCGCGATGTGCTCCGAGCGAGAGTATCGACGGGAAAACGTAACGCGGTCTTCGATCCGTTCGCGTATAGTATATACGTAGCTAATACATGCGACCCCATTCGTGGGGTCGGCCAAGGATCGAGAAAAAGTAGCGGTCGAAAATAAAAGAACGAAGGTGGATTAAGCGCACAGAGATCGGAGAACGGCAATTTCCTTGATCGGCGAACGCGCCACCGCGCCGTATTTCGCGAAGGAAATTGGCATTTCCGAGCCGCGTGGATCGACGGTTTCCGATTGTAACGTGTTCGTTCGCCCGTCGAAATGGCCGTCCGCGGATGAACAGCAACGGCCAAAAGTATAACCAAATCGAGAGAAGAACAAGAGTAACGAAAAGAAAACAGAGCTGAAGTAGAAGTAGAAGTAGAAGTAGAAGTAGAAATGGAAGAAGAAACTAAAACGTGAAAGTAGTGGACAGAAGAAGAAACAGATGAAGAAGAAGAAGAAGAAGATGATGAAGTAGTAGTAGTAGTAGTAGTAGTAGTAGTAGTAGTAGTAGTAGTAGTAGTAGTAGTAGTAGTATAGTAGTAGAAGAAGGAAGAAGTATTCTCGTTGGCTTAGTTTAAACTTTTCTAAGTGGTGGTTGGTTGGCGTTACCTTAAACAGCTGTACCCCGATAACAGCGAACATGAACTGTAGGAGATAGGTGACCAACATAATGTTGCCGATCGTTTTAATGGCGACAATCACACACTTCACTACGTACTTTTTACGTAGTTGGTTGAGGGCAGGTGAGCAGGGCGAGCGAGCACAGCGGGGAACACGGGATCGTGTGAGACAGACAGACAGAAAGAGAGAACAAAAAAAATACAAAGTAGCATTAATCGAGGGTTGTCGGCTAGTTTCGCTCGTGGAGCTAGGTAGCG